ACCAAGACATGGTCTAAGTATACCTGTGGCTACAATGTCCAATAAAGTAGGTATCAGAGCAAAGAATTGATAAGAGACAGAAAGAGGCTTTACATAATGATAAAAGGATCAATCCGCTGGGGAGTCATCATGATCCTAAAAGTGAATGAACCAAACAACAGAGCCTCAAAGTACATGAAGCAAAGCCTGATAGAGCTGAAAGAAGAAATAACCACGTATGTAATTATAGTTGGGGGCCTTCAAAACCCCCCCACTCAGCAAGGGATAAAATTACTAGAGACAAAACCAGCAAGGATATAGGACATCTGAATAACATAATAAGTTAACAGGATCTATATTACATAAATAGGGCACTCCACACAATGACAGCAGAGTGCATTTCCCCCCCAAATCAATGTAACATTCATCAAGCTAGATCATCTTCTAGACCACCAAACAAACCTCCACAAATTTTAGAAGAATTGAAACCACACAGGGTGCATTATCTGACTATAATGAACCTAAATTGGAAATCAATAATAGAACGAAAAAAAGAAGAATCCCTACACACTTGGAAATGGTAGTTGACTTATCATTCCAGTTTGTCATTTATTTTTTTTTAATTTTTTTAACGTTTTATTTATTTTTGAGACAGAGAGAGACAGAGCATGAACAGGGGAGGGTCAGAGAGAGAGGGAGACACAGAATCTGAAACTGGCTCCGGGCTTTGAGCTGTCAGCACAGAGCCCGACACAGGGCTCGAACTCACAGACTGTGAGATCATGACCTGAGCTGAAGTCGGACACTCAACCGACTGAGCCACCCAGTCGCCCCTCCAGTTTGTCATTTAGATCCTTGTTATAGAGGAGCTGAGTTTAGGAAAAGTTGTCTCTTGAGCTGAAGGTATTTCAGGCTGGGCAAAAAGGAAGCTTACTCTGGATATTTCAAACTGGGTATTGTTGATAGCAAGTCTGGAGGGAGAGGGACAACTTAGGAGGCTGTTACGTCAGTCTCACCTGACATTAAAGCTTGTACTACACCAGCAAAGGAAATGCAGCTTGCTGATTGTCAGTGGGCTCAGTTTGGTGGCTGATTATATTTGGGAAGTGGAAGAGAGATTGCCTTTGTGGTATTGGTGTGGTTGTTAAGCCTGAGAGCAGGGACAATTCAGATGTCTTCCTGATGTATGGCTGGTTTCCAATCTAACTCATGGATGCACACATCTCTGTTGTTTTCTTGCCTTGTTTGTTTGCTTTTTTAAAAATAAATCCTGCATCATTCTTTAAAAGGTTCAATACAGTTTCTGCTTCCCCTGCTCATCCTCGGTCATGTCCTCCTCCTCCCCCAAGATTCCTCCCCTGATAGTGCCATCTGTCCAATAAGGCTTTCCTATCCAGACAAGCAGAGGAGTTTCCTTTCTGGGGTTTGTGGGATTGGACCCTTAGGGCAGGTTGACATTTTGCTTGCCCTACCATGGTGTTAGCCTAAGATGTGGTACATGGTACGTGGACCACTGGCGTGTCTTCAAACTTGTATTTTTGTTCCCCTTTTGAGAACCTAATGGTGGTGGTAGTTCACATCAAGGACGAAAGAAAGTTTGGAGTTCGTTCCGAGGTAATTTTGGCAAGAGGAATCCCCATGATGAACGGGATGGATATGACCCTCAGCTTTCACAGCACCAAGAGGATGATGGAACTGTGATGATGAGGAATGTCCAGGAGTACCCCCAAGTAAGACAGTAAGTGACCAGGCAGCCTGGTTTGCATGTAGCCTGGGACTATGCAACCCTTTCACTCCCCTTTGGTCTTCTTTTTCTTCTCTCACTGGAAAACTGAAGAACGCTAGAAGTGGAATAATGGTTGAGCAATCCTACTTGTAGTCCTGGTGACAGAGAGGTGAGGGTGTATAGACGAAGACTTTCTTAGCATTTATGGCCACCCTCCCTCTCTCCACTTACCCTCTGCAGCACTCCCTATAGCACCCGACACAACAAGAGGAGAGCAAAATGGCATAATGAAGGCCATATCCATATTACTGTGTGGAGAGATAGAAAACTTCTGAAGAGACAAATGGGGGAGAATACACAAGATGGAACCCCAGGGAGCTGGTTCAAGGTCACCGTGAGTGTCTTGGCAAGATCTGCATTAGATAGAATATCCTGGAACCCTACAAAAGGAAGACCACATTAAACAACCTTACATCAATTATTTGGAGGAGAGCTTTCCAATGGAGAGAAAGAGGGTTTAGGAAATCCATATTTCGCACAAAAATAAGAAATAATGCTAGTGGTCCCTTCTTTAGAAGCCCTGTACAGCTCAGTAGAGGGTTGGAAAAGAACACCGTCGGGTCTGTTTTCCAACTTTAATTCCATGTTGTCTCTCCTCCCATCCCTTCTTTTCATCTCTAGATTCCCTATGGGGGAAAGTATGACAAGACATGGCTAGTGAAGTCAATCCAGAGCCATTGCAGTGTCCCCTTCACTCCAGTGGATGTAAGGGAGGATGGTGAAGCCAGATGAGTGGACAAAGGGAAGTGGGGGGGGGGGACTGGGAGGAGCCCACAGAGCAGGAAGACTCTATCCTTCAAAATTATTGTTGCCTCCCTCTCCTGTAGTTTCACTATGTGAAAAACCAGGCTCGGTTCTTTGTCCAGGATGCCAGCATTGCCTCTGCATTGAAAGATGTCAGCTACAAGATTTGTGAT